CAGGAGTGCCCGAGACATCACAAACAATAACGCTGCTACACCGTTCACTCACACCTACGATACATAAGCCTGTAAAAATGGCCTAAACGTGCACTGTCAATAACCGGGCCTTAGTATACGATCACAGCGAGCTAGCATTTAACTAGCCACATTCCTGATCGACTACAATCTGAAAATAACCCCTCCGTTTCGACCTGGTTTTTGAAACCGCGTAACTAAGAGAGTGCCGGCGATCAGAGAGGCATAGTTTACCACATATACCCGTGTGTTATGATGCGACGGGGGAGCAGCGAGCAGAGTTTCAGCGTAACTTCACCTGTTTGCGCGCTAGAGTCGTGACTGACTAGAGCTCCACAGACCTGTGGTGAGGGCTGAAGACACCCTGCCGAAGGGCGAGGGCTCCATGCGCAGGTACTTCTGCGGGGAGGCGCTGGCGCTGGACGGGGACATGGGCGCACACCTCCTCCTCTTCGGGGACGCCGGGCTCATCAGAGAATCGAAATCCATAGTCCTTTTCAGAGTGGCTCCACACGCCATTCTGTCGAAGCTTGTGTGTGATTAAACAAGGATAAGAAATAATCCGCTCGAGCAGCGACAGACCCCTGCTAGTCACAGTTCCGCTCTGATCTCAGGGGAACGCGACTCGATCGCTTCGTTTTTATTTAAATTCTGCGTTGCGCTCGCGGCCAAAACCTTGGCTAAGAGAACATAAACGCGTGTTTGCTGTGAGAAACGCAGTTGTGGAGTCGATTCTCCTCAGGAAAACGCCGATGATGTCGGATTGAGTCTTGAGCGAGCGCTAGCCGGCTAAAACAAATATGGCGTGGAAACAAAACATTCGACGAGGCTGCTTCTCTGCGCATGCGCGGGGGCTTCCAGGCGAAGCCGGTACTTGTAGTTTTTGCGAGATTCTTCCTCGCACACGATTCCTGTCGAGACCTGATAAAGCAACTACAAAACCCACAAAACCCCGCTCGTAGTTCTCTCCAATGAAGTCGCTCATTGGTTGTTTTGGATTGTTTGTGGATTTGAAAAAAAAGCCCCTAAGATCTCCTCCCATCGACTCGGAAGGGCTCTAACAATACGTACGTTAATACGTCCAGCTCCTCTAAACTAACTCTGATTGATATGAAACGGGAGTGAAGAATTCAAGCACTCATAAAACATGAAAGAACAGATGCAAACACTGATCTTCTTTGCGTTATAATATAGGCTATTTCAAAACAGAATGGCCATGTACGGGTTTGCTTTCATTTAAGGCCCAAACCTACCATTTTCGTCCATCTTTATATTCGGATCATTTTTTTTTTTTTTAAGTATGATCATTAGTTTTCTTTCATCACACAAAAAAATGATCATTCGGTCATCATTCGCTCAACCTCATATTGACACACACCTGTATGAAGGTATTTCTTCTGTGGAACACGTATACAAGCTGTTTTGATGAATAACAGGGTTGGGGAAAGTTACTTTGAAAAGTAATGCACTGCATTACTTCCTAAAAAAAAGTAGCTAATTACATTACTTTGTTACTGTCTATGGAAAGTAATGCATTCCGTTACTTTTTAGATGGCTTGGCATCATTTTTCTCTCTTCAGAAACAGACAAAAAAAGAGAAAAGAAAGAAAAGAAACACAAATGTTATGTTTATAAACTGGGTCGGGCTTTCTGGGATGGTAATCAAATGGTTCAGGTCATACTTAGAAGGGAGAGGTTATTATGTGAGTATAGGAGAGCACAAGTCGTTTAAATTCCTTGTTTTATTGTTGTGATTATTTTGTTCTTTTCTTTTATGTAAAGCACTTTGAATTACCATTGTGTATGAAATGTGCTATATAAATAAACTTGCCTTGCCTTATCTAAAGTCATTTTTACTTAGTATGATTGATCATCGAAGGTCAGCAGAAAAAAATACCGGTTAATAAAATGGAATGAAATACATAGAGGATATTTGTGTTATTTAACATGTTTGCATCATGTCCTGAGTTTGCATTTGACTGTTTTTTTATTGATTCTGAGGAATACTGAATCTGCTTTTGTGTGAGTGAGATGAGTAAATGCGTGTTCACATTTAGTCTAGATCTACAGTATCATGTTCACTCCGCACTCACTCCTGATTTCTGTCACCATGAGGACAGGAGAGCTGCCAGTCAGTACGTGAGAAAACAAAGTAACTGGCGTTATTTGTTTGAAAAAGTTTCCTTGTAAATTAAAAAAATAATGCATTACTTGAAATACAACACTTTTAGTCATTTTCGTGGATCCATGTGAACTAGTGATGTTCGGTTCTTGAACAAATCGTTCTTTTGAGCCGGTTCTCAGGAAGTAACCGGTCGAGCCGGTTCACAAAATCGAACTGAATCGTACTTTAGTTCCGGGTTGATGACGCAGCACGCACAGCCGAAGTAGCACGTCCAACTCTAAAAGAACCGAATGAGCCGGTTCAACCAGCTGTCGAAGTTTGCCGAGGATTACCGAAGACTCAACAAGAACCGAATGAGCCGTGACGAATTTTGCCGAGGATTCAACAAGAACCGAATGAGTCGTGGCGAAGTTTGCTGAGGATTACCGAAGACTCTGATGAGTGAGTTGACGATACTGTGCAAGCCTGAAGCACGTACTGGAAATATGCTTATTATGACTGTTATTAATTTACATTTTATTAAAACCTGCAAAAATCTTTCTGTCGAGTGATGTAAATAAATTTTACAATTTTTATTTTTACAATATTGTGCATGCATATTATATTTAAAGTTGCTTAAGCGTAATCAGGGAGTTTATAAGACTGGTGCTGTAGCTGCGAAACTTTTAGGAATCTTATCCAAGCTAGTCAGTATTGGTCAGTCAGTCGTATCTGACATAAAAGATCCACGAATGAAACTGTGACCACAAACAACATTAACTTAAGTGAATTATATGGCAATAATCCGCAATATGCTTTCACACAAATAACTTTATTTTTGAATGTTAAATGACTTGTTTGAATTTTTCATTGATAGAGCATGGCACTGAGTTGTTAGAAAAGAAATGCGTATTGCTTGATGACGTCAGGAACCGATGAATCGGCTTTTTGAACCGGTTCAATGAGCCGATCTGTCCGAAAAGAACAGGTTCGCGGAAATGAATCGGACTTTGCATCACTAATGTGAACAGGGATCGATTTGACAATGTTATCTTCTTTATGCGAGACTTTTCTGTATTTATGGTTGTCACATGCACACCTTCAGATCTAACCTGCCTGCGGTTTTCAAGTCATTCTGAGCGTTCGAGCTGCGAGCCTTAGTGCTCAATTTCCATTATTACTCAGATCTGATTTTATTTTGTATAGCTGTTCACATTGTTTATGTGGCCAATATCAGATTTCCAGTGTGATCAGGGGCCCGTTCTTCGTACCTCGCTTAATACATCTGAGATGAGTTGAAAGATGCCAGATCTTCTAATTCTGATAACTGATCTCTGGCTAATCTGGTTCTTCAAACGAATTTGCGGATCTGATTAAAATATCTGGATTAAGTTGTCTAAGATAACGGCGTGTTCCTCGTACAGGGCAGGTGTATCGATACTCGAAACCACGATCAGCGATCAGCGATTGGCTGGCGGCAACACAGCAACGTGATGACGTCATATAATTAAAAACGACACCTGACGAAAAACTTGACAAATTTCTGGAAACAGCCAAGCAAACAAAACTACATATATGTAATAATAAATAAATGAAATGTGCACTGTTTTTATTTTATTTTTTTACATGATTCCCAATTATTTATATTCATGATTTCTAGTATTGGTACAGGCTTTATATTTTTAGTTCAGTGTTGTAATTAGCAATTCATGTAATTTTATCTTTGACGCAGATTTGTTACGTGACGGCGTTAATTAAAGTTTCTTTAGTATCTGCATCGCCACTCCCATAATAGCTGTCAGCACTCAAATCAAACATATAGCGCGTGTGTATGACTCTAATACAATTATAAAGTTATTATTTCATCACGAATAAATTTTTCAACGAGTAAACCTGGCTGTGTCTATAGTGTTATAGATGATGACTACACAACATTATAATATTTTTTTATTATTATTATTGTTAATTACTGTCCCTGGATCAGTAGGGTACTCTTGTAATAAAGTTAATAAATATCAGTTCCACTTAAAAAGATGCAATCTAATCCTGTTTACATGAAATAAGCTGCTCCCGGGCAGATTTAAGTTTACCGAGCTGTTGCTATGACAGCAACTCCGGGATGAGCTTCGAAGAACCAACCAATCCAAGATCAGGCCAAATCATCAACAATCACATCCAGCTAACTGAGTTAGCCGCGTACGAAGAACGGGCCCCTTATTTATTTATAAGTAATAAATAAGGTAATATTATTCTAATATGGTTATTATATTTATTTTATTGGCATATATAACAGGTATATGTAGAAATTATAAAACACTATTATGACTAGGTAATGTTTAATTTATTATATTATATGAAATACTCCGTTTTTTTAAATTGTCAAAAATCATGTTTTTATTGTGTTTTATTGTGTTAGTTTGCTGTTTTTTTTTTAAGTAATTTTTTAACCTAGTCAAAATAACCCACTGCAGTTTGATTGAGATCAACTGGAATGCACAAACATGATTTCTGAGAACTGTTAAAAACGGAGTTATCTGTTTTTGCAAACGAACTCTTCATATATATTTATTACATTTTATATTATCATCTCACACATGGATCGGCATTTTCTATAATGTATTTCTATAATAAAAAAATACATATCTGATATGACTTAATATATAATTATCATCAAACAAACAATATAATTCATATTCTCGAGGATTAAAGATTAAACGGGAAAAAAATAAAATACAGATCATGGTTCTGTACTGATCCGCATGCGCAAAAGAACAACAGGTTTTCACAAAATCCGCCCAATTGCTTCTCAAAACTAGCCCAATCGCGGGGGGTAATATCGCGATAGTGAGGCCCAGTTCTGCGGGAACACGGTGGACTTGGCAACACATGCGCTGTCATAAACACGGAGGACATCATGTAAGCGATCGAGGAAAGAGTCAGAATCGTGAGTTTAAATCTCGGAATTGTGACTTTTATCTCCGAATGTTAAAGTCTAAGAATTGCGAGGGAAAAAAAGTCAGAATTGTGAGTTTACAGGGTTTCTGCAGACATGAACAAGTTACATTTAAGACCTTTTTAATACCACCTTATATTCCATTCAAAATATCCCTGCAAAATAACTGCATCGCTGAGATTTTTGGAGTAAACAATTTATTCTGAAGCAATATTTTCATCAGTGTTCTATCAGCTTTTACATACTTAAATCTGCATATTTAACTTTACATGCATACTTCTCAACAAACTTCTCAACTGAACGACCAGTAAGTGACGGTAAGTCACTAAGTGAGTGAGTATTGAGTGTGTTATCATGCTGCTATCTTAAGGACTTTCGTGGACAGCCTCAGCGTGTTTCTTCTGAGTTTCTTTATGTGTGCCGTTACGCTCGTTTGTTTCGAAGTCTCGAGACAGAGTGAGCCTCAGCGCGAGCTTGTATTGTCTCTGATGACGCAGTCCAGTGATTGTATTGTTGATTTTTCTGAAGTAAATGACGTTATGTGAAGCATGACTATTCACAAGCTGTTTTATTTACGGTATAGGCTAATGCTTGGCAATGATGTTTAAAATGTTCAAGTCCATTCATTATTTGTAGCACGCAAGCCACTCAATAATCGCAGCTTGTGCGTGTTACTACAAAGTCTCAGCCTTCTGTCAACTTTATGATAAAATACAAACAATAAACGTCTTTTTACGCTCGTTAATTTGTAGTGCGATAATTCGCCTCAGTTCAAGCTGCATATGAATCAATGATATTTTCCTCTTTAATATTTGCAGCACGAAATAAACATGAATATTTAATGCAGGATGAAAAAATCAGAACAATTTAATACAAATGAATGTCTCATGAATCGATCAA